TGGACAGTTGCTGCGGACAACACATGTGCTCCTCAGGACGCTTCGTACAACGAGAATACCAGCTTCAACGAGAGGTGGTCATCACCGTCGCCAACAATCAGAACCTGCGCACACGACGACAAGGAGTTGTTCAACTTCAGTCACGAGAAACGAACGTCATTCTACAGATGTCCAAGGTTTTAATTGCAGAAGGCCTCGGCTACAACTTACTCAGCGTCAGTCAACTGATGGCGAAAGGCATTCACCTTGAAGCAGACAGCACAACCCAGGAATTCAAGCTATACCACGGGAGAGGAGGTCTCTACATCGGCAAGGCGGTTCTCAAGAACAACGTCTTCGTTCTTGACTTCGTCCCCGATCTCGGAACGGCCGACAGCGACGCCATCGTCAACTTCACTGACTGGACACATCCTCCAGATCTTGATCCAGACTTCAGCCCGAGCGGCTTCTGGTACTCACACACCATCCCTGAAACAGAAAGAACAAGGGCGCTGGCGACAATTCAGCAGTCGGCAGCAGCAGAGACAACATCGGCAGCAGTAGAGACAACATTGGCAGAAGCATAAACCATATCGACAGCAGCACAGACAACAACAGCAGCAGCAGAAACATCAACACCAGTCGCCGGTCCCTCAACGGCACAGCCCTTCATCGACGAGACGCCGCCAACACCGGCGCAGCAGCTCAATCCTGCACCACGGGAAGTTCATAGAAGCGCGAACATCATCGCCGGCCTCTACTCCAACTCCGACATATACCGACGCTCGCCAGGACACCGCGCCAACGAAGAAACCTGGCACGCAAGAATGGGACACCCAAGCAACACAGTATTAAACAACACGATAAGAGCTGGAGTACTTGACAAGGACTGATCGACGGGAGAGAACTTCAGCGAGCTCGAGGAACGTGCTTCACCTGCCCCGAAGCCGACTTACCGCATCAGCCCTTCGTCTCGCATCACAACCCAAGCGCACCTGCATATGCACCACTCGAGAAAGTGTACAGCGACATCCTGTACAACCGCGAACCCGGACAAAACGCGTACAACTACACCATCACCTTCATCGACGCCGCTACACGTTACGTCTGGCACCTAAACTTACCAAGTCGCGACATGGCTTTCGAGGCTTTCGTGGCATGGCTTCCAGCAGCAGAACGGGAATCGGGAGCTAAACTCAAAAGTTTTCAATCAGACGGAGGAGGAGAATACTCGTCACAGCGGTTCAAGCAGTATCTGGCGGAGAAGGGAATCAAGAGACTCATCTCCCTTCCCTACGCCCATCAACAGCAGGGTGTAGCAGAAAGGATGAACAGGACTCTGCAGAACACCATGCGCAAACTGTTACGTGGCATGCGGCTACCCAACCACCAGTGGCCCGAAGCAATGGACCACGCCGTGATGCTGCACAACTTGCTTTCTTCGTCGTCACTCCCGAACAACACATCACCGCATCTGCTGTGGACAGGGAAACTGGGCAGCACAAAAATGTTACGAGTCTTCGGCTGCATGGTACAGTACCGACCCCCATCTGCACGAGCCGGCCGATTCTCCCAACGCGCACAGTGGGGACTACACCTGGGCATCGAAAAACATTACAACGCGTGGAAAATCTTCGACATCCACACCAAGGAAACAGTAGCAGCACGTGATGTCATTTTCTACGAACGGCTCACACTGCCAACGTATCTTGCCAACCTGGACGAAAATCGAGACCCCACAGGTGGCTTCCGTGGCGATCGAGCCTTCGCTTCGGCAGAAGACGAAGCTGACTGGGACGAGCAGAACGTGGAAGGAGCCTCGGAAGAAGCCGGACCTCTTCCCTACTGCTCAGTGGACGTACCGATGGACGAAGATAACCCTCGCGAAAGCGTCAACGCCGAAACCTACTACCACTTCGCCGACAACGGTTACGTTACACCTGCTGAAGTCAACACCAACGAAGCAGAACGCATAGGGCCCAACTTCGCACCTGATCCAGAAGCTGGAGACGAGGCAGTCTATCCCGAGGACACCACACTCCCCCGCTACACACAGAGTGGACTCCAGATACTCGGGCTCGTCACCGCAGTCCACGGCGCCGCCATTCCTAAAGAGCCTGCAACGATTCAGCAGGCTCTGGGGGGGGAACACAGGGAAAAATGGCGTGAAGCCATGGACAAGGAGCTGAAAGCGCTAGAAGAACGCAACACCTGGAAAATCGTTCCTATCGGCGTAGCACGAAACAAGACCATTCTCACCGGAAAATGGGTCTTCCGCGTGAAGACGAAAGCAGATGGCACCATCGACAAATTCAAAGCGCGCTGGGTCGTACGCGGCTTCGACCAAGAGCACGGTCGCGACTTCACCGAAACCTTTGCTCCGGTCAGCCGACACACCTCACTACGCATTCTCCTCGCGATCGCCGCCATGAAGAAGAAAAGGCTACGACAAATCGACGTCGCAAACGCCTTTCTCTACGCACCTGTTGACGCAGAAATCTTCGTGGAGCTACCACACGGCTCCAGCACGGACTCCACACACGTCTGTCAACTACTCAAATCGCTCTACGGCATCAAACAAGCCCCACGACTGTGGCAACAGTACCTGCACGCCCGACTCGTTCGCATCGGCTTCAAGCAGCTACCGCACGATCAGGGAATGTATCGGCTCACGAAGGGTACAGACTACATCCTCCTAATCGTCTACGTAGACGATTTACTCTACATCGGCTCGACAGACAACGTCACCTCCTGGTTCGAAGGGGAGCTGCAGAAAGACCTCACGCTCACGGTCTCGTCTACCGTCACACAGTACCTCGGCCTCAACATCCGAGAAGAAGAAGATGCGATCTACCTCAACGCCGCGAAATATGCCGACACCATCGCCAAACGCTTCGCTCTCACACCAGCCGCCATCTCCACGCCATACCGCTACACGACAGGAACCGAGAAGGGACGATCCACTCTACTCAAACCAGCCGGCATACGCGACTATCAGAGGAAGCTCGGATGCCTCCTCTTCGCAGCCGTCACTTGCCGTCCCGACCTCTCATACTCCGCAAGTCAACTCGCCACCTACCTCAAGAGGCCTGAAGCAGAACATCTGGCGGAACTTGACCGCGCTCTTCACTACTTCATCAGCACCGCGACGATCGGCCTAACCTACCACAAGAACGCAGCTACACCAACTAAGCTAATCGGCTATGTCGACGCCGATCACGCCGGCGACTCCGACAACAGGCGCTCACGTACCGGCTACGTCTACCGCCTCGAACCTATCGGACCTATCTCCTGGCAGTCGAACAAGCAGGAGTTAATCGCGTTATCATCAGCTGAGGCAGAATATATCGCACTCTGCCACCAAGGAAGGCCTTTATCTTCGCGAGCTGCTGGAAGAAGCAAAGTTAGCTGAGTTACCCAACTTCACCCTGTTCTGCGACAACCAGTCTGCAATTCGCATCGCCAACAAGAACGGCTTCGCGAACAGGACGAAACACATCGCCCTACGCTACTTCTTCGTGAAGGACGAGATCGAGAAGGGGAGACTTCAGCTGTCATACTGTCCCACGTCCGAGATGGCAGCCGATTATTTGACCAAGAAACTCGGAAAGCAGAAATTCGAGTACTGCGTGTTGCTGACTGGACAAAGCCACGTCATCAAGAGCGACACTCCAGAAGCGAAGGGGAGTGTTGGAAACAATAAATTGTAAACGCCTCTGTCGTGTCGAAACACCACACCAGAAGCGAAGCACGCCATGTCGAAGCACCCGCGAGTCAACCCTCGGAGGTTAAAAGAGGTTGCTGGAGGTTACGCGAAAGTCAAAGGTCAAGCGACCTTTGACCTGACAAATACAGCGCGACAGTTAAGGACACACAGCTGACTCGTTACAGAGCAGTTGCCCGAGTCGTACTGTATCGAACCGCAACAGCAACAGTAAAGTAGTTACAAACTGCATCCTTTCATATTCCTTGTATTATTATATAATCTTGTACTTCCTTGCTATAATCAATCTACTTTGCCCTCACATACCAGCGCAAGGTGGTTCACAAACTTTTGTTAAACGCTTCCGCTATTACAACACTATCCATCCAGAGTTCTCCCTTGAAAGATCCTAAGGGGCTATCTCAGCCCAACAACGTTTTCCGTGCATGCAATGCACGCTGGCTCCATTTTTTGCATCGCGGCCATTGTGGCCAGATGCTGAAGTAATCAAGGTACATAGACGTTCTTGTTTTACTGATTATGCTATACCTGTTAGGAGATAAAAATATAATGCATTTTTTGCCTTCTTCTGTAGTGTATATATCTTTTTACGTTAGTATTTGAAACGAGAAGCAACTGTAAGGAATTGGGAATTGGTTCGCCCCGTCCACCCAAATCTGGTACTATTTGCTCCGCAATTTGTTACCAGACCCAACCGTTTTAGATTCCTACTCACCTTATTGAGCCGCATTCAGACGAAGCTTTCGATGCGCCCAAGCAGGACATATTTTCAAATGTTTGTTTCACTTCACAAGAATTCTATCTCCTGGAGATCTCCAGCATTTCTTGGGGGGAGGGACCCTGGATATTGTAGGTCCTTGATAGCTCCGCTTCGCTTCTGCGATTCCTAGAAAGTATCTGCGTCGGAGCATTGGCTCTATCGGGAGAACTGGCGGGAAGGTTTTTTTTTTCAAAAGGCGAAGACGATAGCGCGGCGATGGCGACTCGGGCCATAGATTGTGACGGAAGGCGTCGCTCGTTCCCTCTGGGAGTTTCTTCCGATCACGGCGTGTGGGGTACAAGCGTTGCTATCAGAAGCCGATTTCGTAGACTCTGGATAGTCCCTGCTGCGTCGTGCTGCTGCTCAGCTCGTGGTATTACGAAGCAGCTGCGGAGATAGGAATCAGTTTGAGCATCTCGTCTTTTTTAAGGTGACGGAGATACGTCGTTTCTTCAGGCTTGCAAGATGGTCGTTCAACAGCCGTGCGGTTTCCTGCTTCCGCCAATCATGGCACAGCCGTGGATCGAGCTCGACGACATGAACCTCGAAGATACCATGATACCTTTTCCTGAATCGACCCACTTACTATCAGTTAAACCATCTGAAGAAGACGACATGGTCGCGGTCCCCGTTCTCCAATCCGAAACCGATACGTGGCTTCTCGAACCGGACCTGTCTCGCCGTCAGTTCTGGCCGTCAGAGTCCGCCATCTGTCAGTTAACCGGCCGGTTGTCGAGCGGTTCGCCAACGGCTAGTCAGACGGGCGGAGTTGTCCACGTGGCGGAGGAGCTTCTGAACGGCTGCGGCCTCATCCACGTGCTTCCCGTCAGCTCCCTGCACGGCTGCTCTAAAGCCGTCGCGAATCGCGGCTGCTCTACCCGCGTCGCGAACCCTGGCTGTTCTAGTGTTGCGAACCCCAGCTGCTCTCTGAAACCTCTGCCAGCGTCGGAAGGTTCCAGTGTTCTTCTCCGTCAGTCTGCTGAGTCAACGAGACACGCGGGACATATCGACGTAGCGGATGAGCCTGGCACCTGTGACGGGACGGCTGATGAGCATGACACGTGTGACGGCACAGCTGATGAGCATGACACGTGTGACGGCACAGCTGATGAGAATGACACGTGTGACGGCACAGCTGATGAGCATGACACGTGTTACGACGCAGCTGATGAGCACAACAAATGTGACGGCACAGCTGATGAGCATGACACGTGTCACGACGCAGCTGATGAGCACGACACGTGTGACGGCACAAGTTCTGTCTTTCTCGAGTCATCTGAGGAGCAGCAGACACCCGAGACTCTTGAGGGGTCAATCGAGCAGCACCAGCAGCAGCAGGAGGAGGAGCAACAGAACCTGCAGCAGCACCAGCAGCAGCGTCAGCAGCGGCAGCAGCAGCAGAAGCAGCAGCAGCAGCAGCGGCAGCAGCAGCAGTCAGCATCGCTTCCCCCCATGGAATCACCTCAGAGTGCAGGGAGCGCGGGGCGAGCAATCAGGAGTCCCAGCGGACCGCTCACCATGAGCCTTCGGAGCCGAGCCAAGGGGAACTCGAACTCGGGAGACTCTCCTCCTTTAGGTGCTCTGCTGAGTACACCCGTGGCAAGCGGTTCAATCCCAAGCGAGTCAATTTCAAGGGATTTGACTCCACGCAATGCAATTTCACGAGATTCCACTCCAAGAAAGAGGATTCGCTCACGTGACATTCCTTCTTCAGGAGCAGCGGTTGAGACGCGTCCAGTGCGGAGACTGCGGGTGCTTGTAGGTGGAGATTCTGCAGAGGGGGCCAGTCATGATCAGATGGATTTGGAGAAAACAGGTCTTGAGGCTGTGACTGAACCGAGGAAGAGGGGGAGCAAATGGTCGCAGAAAGCAGGAAGTTTGAAGGAGATTAACCAGAAACTGCTTTCACCAATTTCAAGGCGTCAGATGGATTTGAAAGAAGCTAGAACCCATGCTGTTACTGAATTGAAGAAGAGAGGGAGCAATCGATCTGGAAAATCAGGAAGCCTGAAGGAGATCGACGAGGATTTGACTTCCCCAGTTCCCAAGCGCCAGTCATTGAATCAGTTAGCGACACGAAGGTCCGTCAGGTTCACGAGAAGCAATCTGAGATACGCTGAAGAGGAGGACGAGGAGGAAGAGGAGGAGCTTCAGGTTGCTGTAAAGGAGGTCAAGCAGGGGGTTAAGCAGCAGAAGGAGCTACATGTTGGTGTCAAGCAGGGGAAGCGTCAATATGCTGCAGGCGAGTCCAAGCAGCAGGAGGTAGATGTTGAGTTCCAGCCGGAGGAGCTTCAGGTTGCTGCTGTTCATGTCAAGAGGGACGAGGTGATTCAGGACGGTGCACTGAAGGTCAAGCAGGGGGTTCTGAAGGAGGAGGCTCCTGGAGAGGCCGCTGTTGCTGCAGGGAAAGAGAATGTTGAGCCTGTGTCTGCTGAGCAGGTGCTAGGAATGTCTGGAAAAAGAGGCGTGCTGCAGAAGCGGAAGCAGTCGTTCAAACACGAGGCCAGAGCTTGCCAGGGACAGAAACGGCCTCTGAAGCCAGAAGCAGCCGAGCAGAAATGTGGACAAAACCAGAAGCGGGAGGTGAAGAAGACGAAGCGGGGTTTGCCCTCTGAAGCAGTGGCTGTGCTGAGGAGATGGATTGAAGACAACCCGCACCGGCTGTTTCTGAATGCGAGCGAGAAGGTTGATCTGGTTCAGCAAACCGGGCTGACTAGACTCCAGGTGAGCAGCAGCTCTCCTGACATATGGGTTGAACGGTTATCACGTGAAATGAGGTTGTTTTTGAGACGTCTCAAAAACAAACCGGGCTGACTCGACTCCAGGTGAGCAGCAGCTCTCCTGACATATGGGTTGAACGGTTATGCATTTGACAAGCTGATTGATTACTGTGATTCATGTGTTATTACTGAGATGATTTTCTTGGCTTTGTTTTCCGTTCTTTTTTTTGCAGGTGGAAAACTGGTTCTGCTATGCGAGGAGGAAGGGCTACATGGGTCGTGCGGGTGATTTTGAGCAGTCGGATTCATTTCCAGCTGAAGAGTGACAAGACAGTGGGATGGGATGGGCATTTCTCCAGTACTACCACAGTACTTTATTGGGCCACATGGCTCGTGCTGCTGATTTTGAGCAGTCGGATTCATTTCCAGTTGAAAAATGACAAAGACAGTGGGATGGGATGGGCATTACTACACTGGTACTTTATTCCACTAACTTTCATTAACTGAAGATCATGTCAGGAGTATGATTCTGGGTACTTTCCAACTTTAACAGATATGATATACATAACTCTCAGGTGTTCCTTTCAAGTCATCAGACAATTTGAGCATGCTGTTTCTCTATTTGAGTTAAATCCATGTTAATCCTGACAGAAGTTAATCATTATGCACATCCTTGCACAAGTGTTACAGTTAGAGGGCAACATCATTGGTTATACAAGGGCAATCAAACAAGGTGCTTGATTTGCTCCCTACACTTCACATGGTACATTATTGGTTACAGTATTGTGAAGCTCGATTTTGAGGCCTTTGACTCTTTGAGATTGTTGCCATCTCGAGTCTACGCTTCTTGTGCCATTGCTATGTTGTACTGTGCTTCTGGTACACCATTTTTTGCAGTCCACTGCACTCTCTTCCTCTCTATGTAGAAGCTCCCTGTAACGAACACAAAAAGAGGCAGAAGAGAGTTGTCAGGGTGTAGGGAGACGGCGGGTTGGGATGGGGTGGAAGGGGAAGGGCGGATATTAATGAGGTCGAGAAGAGGGAAAATGTAATGGGATAAGGGAGGGATTTAGGGCGAACACTTAGTCCACATAAGAAAAGTGTGGTATATGAAACAAGAGGACGTGATGAGGTGAGGCAAGCGGAGAGGCAAGGAGCGCATTGAAATTACGACCACATTGTATCGCACCATACCACATTGTATTGCACCATACCACACATGGCAGCCACCAGTGCAAGCCACCAACATCCACCAAACCCCATCGCACAGAACCACCATCCACCGCACAGCACCGCATCACACACCTGTCTATCTTGGTAACCAAGCCTGGATCCGGATCATGCACAAACAGGAAAGGCCCTCCCCCAGAAGCACCTCCCCCACTCATGTTTTGCCATTGGGAAGAGTTCACAGGCGGCATCTGCAATGGAGATATGGAGAGGGAAAAGGCCAGGTGTAAGTACATACTACAGGTATGCATGAACAAATAGGATGTGTTTGCAACGAACTCTTGTGCAGCTGATCTCGTGCCCCGTGTGTGACTGTAAAGGGCGGAAAGTGCAGGCCCAATGCTCGCCACTGCCCAGCCAGTCTAAATGCCTGGCTGTGAAGGTTCGTCTATGTGCTTGTAACGAATACCAAATGCCTTGTGCACTATGCAACATATTCTTATGCTACTGACCTCGTGCCCTTGCGTGACTGTAAAGGGCGGGAAATGCAGGCTACTGTTTACCCAGACTGACGTTCATAAAAAATCTATGTGCTTGTAACAAATTCTTAAAGAGGACCGAGTTTGTATGCAACTGACCTCATGCCCTTGCGTGACTGTAAAGGGCGGGAAGTGCAGGCCTCTGTTCACGACTGTGTGATTGAACCGGGCGGCCTGGCAGGCGGTGGTTGGTATGTAGTGCAGGTGGGGCGAGAGCGTGTCTCCCAGGAACATGAGCATTCTGCGTGGGATCGCGTGTGGTTCGTCGATCAAGTAGCGGATCAACGGCCGAGATGCGAGCAGAGGGAATGAGCCTGTGGGTGGGGATTCAGAGGGGAGGGGAGGAGAAGGAGAGGGGAAAGCGGGGGGAAGAGAGCAGGGGAGGATCAGAAGGACATGAGATGGCGAGGAGGGAGAAGGAGAGAAAGAGGAAGGGAGAGGGGGGAAAAGCAGGGGAAAGGGAAGGGGAGGGGAGCAGGTGGGGCGAGAGCGTGTCTCCCAGGAACATGAGCATTCGGCGTGGGACCGCGTGTGGTTCGTCGATTAAATAGTGGATGAACGGCCGAGATGCAACGAGAGGGAACGAGCCTGTGAGTTGGGGCAGGAGAAGGGAGCAGGGGCAGGTGGGGTGAGAGGGAAGGGACGGGGAGCAGGTGAGGACAGAGCGAGTCTCCCAGGAACATGAGCATGCGACGTGGGATCGCGTGTGGTTCGTCGATCAGGTAGCTGATGAACGGCCGAGATGCAAGCAGAAGGAAGGAGCCTGTGAGTGGGGCCGAGAGGAGAGGGGAAGAGGAGAGGATGGGAGGCGCAAGGGGATGGAGCAGAAAGGATGAGATGGCAGATGGATGGATGGACGGACGGCTAAGATTGAATTGAAGCAGCAAGATCTAAGAAAGAAAGAGATGAAGGAGGGCAAACATGCATGGTGTGTGTGAGAGGGAACCGAAATACCACTCTTACCCTTACCAACTATCACAGCCCTTGATAAAACTCCCGGCATCGTTGTAACACCCACCAGTGTACACCTCGAATCTGGTAACCCTATCGCGCATGTCAGCAATCCACCGTCCCCCCCTCCGCCTCTCAAACAGCGCATTGTCCGCAAACACACTCTCCTGGCGGTAACTGTGTGTAGTGAAGGGGGGGTTGGGGGGAGAGAGGAATGGGGAGAGAGGAATGGGGAGAGAGGAATGGGGAGAGAGGAATGGGCACGAGCAGGGTTAGAGAGCCATTATTCTCCCCCCTACCGCATCTCAAACAGCCTATTGTCTGTAAACACTCTCCTGGCGGTAGCTGTTCGGTGGAGGAGACAAGTCAACTCCAGTCAATTCCAGTCAGCTTCAGTCAACTCAAGTCAAGAAAGGTCCAGGTGAACAGCAATCAGAGCCAACCATTGGAAGCAGTGGTCAACCACATGGTCCATGAAGGAGAGGCTCATGCAAGTCAGCTCAAGTCAAGGGAGGTCAACACAGTTCAAACCAATTCAAGCGGACCAAGTCAGCTCACTCGAAGCGATGGTCAACCACATGGTCCACGAAGGAGAGGTGGATTTAAGTGAACTGAAGTCAAGAGAGGTCAACGCAGGTCAACGCAGATCAAATTAAGTCAACTCACTCGAATCGATGATCCACCACATGGTCCATAAAGGAGAGGCGAGGCGAGACTGAGGAGAGAAGCCAGAGGAGTTCTGGTGGGGAGAAGGAGGGGGAGTTGGGCGGAAGGCGGGTAGGTGAGTTAAATGAGCAGGATTAGGGGAGCAGTCAACCGCATGGCCCATGAAGGAAGGAGAGGCGAGACGGAGGAGAGCAGCCAGAGGAGGTCTGACGGGGAGAGACGGAGAGGGGTTAGGGGGAAGGCGGGTAGGGAGGGTTGAGTTGAGTTGAATGAGCAGGAAGCGGGGAGTAAGGAGGCACATGGTCCAAGAAGGAGAGGCGCGGCGAGACAGAGGATATCAGTCAGAGGAGGTCTGGTGGGGAGGAGGGGTTGGGCGGAAGGCGGGTAGGTGAGTTGAATGAGCAGGATGAGGCAGTGAACGAGAGGCGAGGCGAGACTGAGGAGAGAAGCCAGAGGAGTTCTGGTGGGGAGAGAGGAGAGAGAGAGGGAGTGTGGGGGGGAGTTGGAGGAAAGGTGGAAAAAGTAGAGAGATAATGAGAAGGAGGTGAGCGGGTGTCAACCACTTGATCCATGAAGGAGAGGCAAGGCGAGACAGAAGAGATCAGTTAGGGGAGCTCTGGTGGTGCGGTGGGGAGAGACAAGATGAAGGGCGGAAGGGGTGGGAGTAATAAGAAACAGGTGAGCAATGGTCAACCACGTGGTCCATGGAGGAGAGGCAAGGTGAGACCGAGGAGAGAAGCCAGAGGAGGTCTGGCAAGAAGGCCCGAGAAGAGAGGGGTTGAGGCACGAGAGACAGGGAGGGTTAATGCGTTACGGAAAGAGAGGCGAGGCGAGACTGAGGAGAGGATCGAAGGGATGGAAAGAGGAGAGGAGAAGGACGAGGTGGGTTGAGTTGAATTGGGGAGCATGGAGATGAAGAGGGGAGCATGGAGGCACATGGTGACATGAAGGAGAGAGACGGAAGCGGCTCACTATCATTTAGTATCGCACAGCACCAGACTCACAATCCTGTGTCACCAGAAGACAAACCTTTGCACCCACCAGCACCGATTTTAGGCCTTCTCGTTTGCACATACTTCGCCCTCCCAAGAGCTCGTCACCGCATAGCACCACTCACGTTTCATTGCCCGAATAAACTAGCCTTCCCCATCCCTCCTCACCACTCATCGCCGTACAGCGCCACTCACCATCCTGTGTCACCAGCGGGTAATCCTCTGCACCGAGCAGCACCAGCCACTGCCACCCACTCGCTCCGCCTCTCCTCTTCCCCTCTCCTACGCCCCTCTTCTTCCCCTCCACCAATCCCCCATTCCTTGCCCCTTCTTCATTCCCGTTCCCACCCCGCTTCCCTTCCCCTTCCCCATCCCCCTCCCCCTCCGCCTCCGTCTCCCGCTCCGCCTCCCCCTCCGCCCCCTCCCCCTCCGCCTCCCCCATGCGCAGCAGTGTGTGCGCCAGGCGCAGCAGCGCAGCCAGGCGCGACCCCCCCTCTACAGTCACAATCTCCGGATCGTCTATTACAAGAATCCGAACCGAAGCCCTGGTCTCCCCCGTTATAGTCACATGTTCCCCATTCCCGCCCGCTTCTGTCGCCTCCGCCGCCCCGGCTGCTGCGACTGCCGCCGCAAGAACGGGGTGGGCGGAAAGCTTTGTCCGTAGCGCGAATGCTGAGTCAGCATCGTCTATGTACACGGCATAGAAGTTCCGAGGATGGTAGGTGGCCAATAAGAGGCGATAGATTCGATCAGTGTCGTTTTTCGAACCTGTGTAGGAAAGAAAGGGGAGTGGAGGGTGAGGGAAGAGTGGGCGACGAGAGAGAGGGACAGTCGTTTTTTGTATCGAAATGAGGGGTTTAAGAAGTGCGACTCCACTGCAATGAAAAGACGGAGGATTTTCGCGCACGCGTCGCATGCGCGCACGTGTCGTACGCACGCGGCGCGTGCCACGTGTGCGTAACAGGTTTGAGAAAGGTAAAGGGAAGCACCATATACGCCCACGTGGCTACGTACCTAGAATTCCATACGCGAGGGACGGGACAGAATCCTCGTTATTAGCCTCCCACAGCTCCTGGTTAGCACCTTGCTGACGCGCTGATACACTCACAGCAGCTCCCCGAAGCTTCCCAGAAGCTATGAGGGCTCGCAGCATTGGGAAATCCCACGGATCCCCCTCCCATACCGAGGTGGATGTGCTTAGAAAGAAAATGTTACACAAAAGGAGCGTGCATATAACGAGGTAGATCGCGAGATCTCGCACGCTGTGCTCGCCTAGGATCGCGAATTTCGCCGGCACCGGGTTACCAGCGCTGGAACCGTGCGCTGGTTGCTCTTGTGCGAGCTTCGCCATGCAGCTGAAGCAGAGACTGCCCTTGTTCGTCACGAATTCTCGTTTGTTCGACTAACTCGTCATATGGCGATCCGATACACGTTCAAGCATATGCACACTGTTTAAATAGGACTAGCAGGGGGTTACACGGAGCGTAGTAGAGAAGATTACACGGAGCGGACTAGACGATCGGTGCCTGCGCAAACAGAGCTGCGTACGAAACTCCAAATGCGCGACATTGAAATACTGACGTGGCAGGCGGACACGAGCCACAATAAAAGAAAACTCACGACGCGCTGACGCAATCTGTCAATCAGGACCGATTCGGACTAGGTGGTGCGTAGAACTAATTTCTGTGCGGAGTTGTTCTAGCGACGTGTTAGGGGGATTCGAGATGATCGCGGACAGGTTGCTCGGTTGTGTTGCGCAGACATGGGCAAGGGAAGGCTAAGGATTTAGCGCGCGTCACATCAGGTGGTAACCAGCTGTTCGAATGCACAAATTCTGAGGGTTGAGTATGGTACAGTACGTTTTCAAAACCAACCAATTTGGTTTAGTATGGTGCTTGTTCGAACGTTCGCACGCCTGAGGTGACTCGCCAGGGGCATAGGGTGGGGGGGGGAGGGGAGGGGAGTTGTTCATCGAGCCGCCTTGCTATAGCTGTGATAAAAACGATAACAGCTGGCGCCTTGTGACTCGTGTGACTAAAGCGAGACCCTTGCTTTGTCCCGGGTCGTCCAAGGTTCGTCCTGACCAGGCGGACCTGGTGGAAGCTGCGGCCATTATCTCCGATACTCAGATTTTGCCTGAGCGCGTTCTCAGGTGTAATCATCCTCGACTTTCTTAACGTTGATTGGTCGTCGCTTTATAGTACAATTCTCTCGCTTGTCTAACCCTTTAGGAAGTGACAAAAACAGAACCTACCAGTTTACCCTCCCGACTTGGATATAAGTACTGAAATTTAGGTAGTAGGAGAATGAAGCTGGTTGCGATGGAGTCGAACAAGCCAAAAAAAACAAAAAAAGAGAGAGAATGTAGCCCATATAATTCACTTGGTAGTGCTCGGTAGCACAACCGACCTCTAAACAACGATACCGTAAGCACTAGACGACGCTACCGAGGTAAAACAGGGCATGGCATAAAAGATATAAACCCCTAAAGAACCTGGACGCATTTTCGAGAGGGGTCAACCCTAAACACGAAAAAGGGCATTGTTTTCAGGGTTGATGCCTCCCGAGTCGTATCCCTTCTTAATTGGGTTTTATTTTTTTGTAAAGTAGGTGCAATATATTTTCCAAAATACTGGGCGGCTTTCCGTATTGAGGGTTAATCCTTCCCGGAATTCATCTACCGATAGGTTCGCTACGGGTTTTATTTTTTTGCATGTGCTCTAATTTGTTTTGGAGTGACTGTATACGAAATGGAGCCAGAATAGCTTCACACTATATCGCAATAACGGGCTTCTGTTGCTGATTACACCTTAGAACGCGCTCAGGCGAAATTTGAGTATCGGAGATAATGGCCGTTCAAAACTGGTTCAGCTCGACCAGTGATTGGTTTTGACGGCTGTGCGCGTCAAACCAAACCTGCCATGCGAACCTTGTTTGGCGGCTTGACGCTGCGCTTCGATTCCAAGGGGGTACACCATATTTGTGTGCAGGGCCATCGGGATGGGTCACAGAGCATCTGCGCGACACTTTCCTCACGGAACCTTCCTGCCTCTCCCACCTGCTGGAAGTGTTCAACCAATGGGTGGCGGGACAGGTCCCCGAGCGAGCTCGGCCCTGGCTCGCCGCATCCAACCTAGTCGGGCTTTCCAAACCCAACGGTGACGTCCGGCCGGTGGCGATCGGGGAGGTGCTTCCGCGTATCCTCGCTCGAGCTCTCTGCATCTCGCTTCGCCCTGTGATGGCTTCTTATTTTCTGCCGTGTAACCAGCTGGGAGTGGGCACCAGGGCCGGGGTGGAGATTCTTACTCATTCTTTCCGGTCAGCGCTGGCCACTCACCCCGACTGGTGTGCGCTGCAGATAGATGTCGCGAACGCCTTCAATTCGTTTCATCGCCACGCGATGTTCGAGGGGCTGAAGGAGTCGCCTTTCTCAGGAATGATCCCATTCTTGCGTGTCTTCTATGGGACACCTAGCGACCTGTACCTCCGAGCGGGCCCTTTCGTACAGAGTCTTGAGTCGGCACGAGGATCGCGACAGGGGGACCCGCTCGGCCCTTTTCTTTTCGCTTTCACGCAGCAGCAGGTGCTGGGGACGGTGACTAGAGAGTTCAGGGACCTACTTTTCTTGAGCTATGCAGACGATACCTACATCCTGGGACCAGCGGCTAGGATTCTGGAGGCTTTTGGGGTGCTGCGGGAGAGGTTGGAGTGGGTGGGGCTGGAAGTGCAGGCGCACAAGTGCAGGTTTTGGGAGCGTGGAGGTGGGGATATGGAGCGGGCATTGCCTTTGGGGATGCAGCGGGAGGAGGAGGGTCTCACTGTGGTGGGCGTGCCTATTGGGGAGGAGGATTGGGAGGGGGCCCGATTACGGAAGCGGCTTCGCGAGTTGCAGGCGCCATTGCCGTGGCTCCCCCTGCTCGACCACCCCCAGATGGCCTCGCATCTCCTCGCTATTGCAGTTTCAGCACGGCCGATGTACCTGGCCCGGACTATGCCGCCGCGGCCGGAGGTGGTGGAGGCCTTTAGAGAGTGGGACAGCTGTCTAGGGGATTGCTTTGAGCAGCTTTTCCCCCCTGGCACTTGGGAGCAGGACCCCGGCAGGTCTAGGCGCGCACGCATGCAGCTGCATCTCCCTGTGCGCCTCGGAGGGTTTGGGATCCGGGCGGCGGCCTCTTTGAGTCCGCTCTCCTATGTTTGTGGGTGGGCGCAGTGTCGGAATCAACAGACAGGAATGACTGTACTAGCACAAAGTTGGATACAAGTAGGAAACCCTAATCTAGTGTACCCCCTAAGGTGTAACCCACTACAGCCTACAATCATATAAACATATAATGTTTGACACACCCCCATAGGCGCAGTGGGAGACAACCACAGGGTCACGAGACCAGTCAAAGCAAAGGAAGGCAAGCTCAGGGTGGATCTCAAGGATTCCACACAAATTCCGAGCACAAGCAAGCGGTCACAAGACCAGTCCACATGCAGGTTTATAATAGAGCAAGAGATGCAGTGATCACAACCTAGCAAGAGTGAACATGCAGGTATACACACATATATATATAGTGATCACAGTACAAGCAGGGTCAAGAAGTAAGCAAATGAGGTCCAGTAGGCACAAGGCCTAGCAGAGTGCAGAAGCGCTGATGGTCACAAGGCTGAAGCGCCTTGGTGAACACATCAGCAGTGTTGGCCTCAGTGGCCACGTGACGAATACAAAGCTGACCGCGCTGCTGCAGCTCTCGAGCAAGGAAGTACCGCAGGGCGATGTGCTTCGTTCTGTGCTCCAGTCTGTGCTCCTCACACAAGGCAATGGCAGCCTTGTTGTCGACGTACAGCACTAGAGGAGAACGAGGCCGCTCTCCGAGGTCGGTCAGCAGGTAGGTCAGCCAGCGTAGCTCATGGGCAGCCATGGCTGTGGCGTAGATCTCAGCCTCACAACTGGAGCTGAGAACAGAAGAAGAGCGTGTAGAACGCCAAGAAACTGAGCCAGAGCCAAGGCTGAAGGTGTAACCCTGAGACGACCGCTGAGTAGCCTGGTCGTCAGCCCAAGAGGCGTCTGAGTGTCCTGTGAGTACAACTCGGTCTCGCCCTCCAAGCACTAGCCCCATGCCCGACGTACTGCACAAGTAGCGCAACACCCTCTTAGCGGCATCCATGTGCTCCTTCCTGTGACGGCCAGGAGCGACATAACGTGCAAGGATGCTAAGAGGGTATGCCAGGTCAGGTCGAGTGCAGGTCATCAGGTACATGAGACAGCCCACAAGCTCTGGATACGGGCCACTCGGCTCTACGGACTCATCCGAAGGCAGAGCTGAGAGCGAGTGACCGGTAGGCAGAGGAGTGGACTGAGGCGAGGAGTACGTGAAGCGGAAGCGCTGAAGGATCTGCTGCACCATGTGTGACTGAGTCAAGGTGATGGTGCGTCGTGCTCTGTCCCGGGTGATCCGCAAGCCAAGATAGCTCGTCAGTTCCCCCAGGTCTGTGCACGTGTGTCTCCTCTGCAGCTCCAACTTCACGTGGGCGAGTGCCGCGGTGTCAGCAGTGGCAAAGACCAGGTCGTCGACGTACACGAGGATGTAGAACGGCGGCAGTGAGGTGTCTGTGCGTAGAAACAGTGACGGGTCAGCAGTAGAGGGAGCAAACCCAAGAGCCGCAAGTGTCGTCCTCAGTGTGTCGTGCCACTCACGCGGTGCCTGGCGGAGACCGTAGACTGGCCGCTGGAGCCTCCACTGGGTACCAGGAGGAACCGACCCAGTGAAACCAGGAGGGCGACGCAGCCAGATCTCCTCGTGTAGGCTGCCCTGTAAGAAGGCAGTGCTGAAGTCAAGTGAGTGAAGCTCGTAGTCGCGCTGAGCGGCTATGTGCAGCAGCACCCGAAGAGTGGTCATCTTCGGGGTGGAGGAGAAGGTCTGAAAGAAGTCAACTCCCTCTCGCTGGCTGAAGCCTCGAGCAACGTAGCGCGCCTTGAAGACAGGAGGAGAACCCGGCGGCCGCTTCACCCTGAAAATCCACATGCCACTGACGATGTTCGCCCCAGGAGGGGGAACCTCGTCGACGTAGGTGCGTGTGGACTTCCAGGAAGCCATCTCTGCGTCCATGGCTGTCTGCCACTGAGAGGAGTAGGGACCTGCCATCGCCTCAGCGTAAGTGCGCGGGGTCGGGATGTCAGGAGCATCCGGGTCTCCCTCAGGGGCAACTAGCAAGGACACGAGACGGGGCAAAACAGCAGCAAGGCACTGGAACTCCTCCTATCTGTCCTCAAGGACGTCCGTGCCAAGAGCACACTCACCCCCGACGGACGGAGGACAGACAGACTCAGACTCAGACTCAGCGACAAGGCTAGCAGCGTAGTCT